TTTCTAAGCCTACTGGGCGCCAACTTGAAAATTCTATATGGTAAAGTAACTCAGCAAATGGTTTGAAACATAGAATTTGTAATTAATAAGGGTAAAGAACCAACAAGAACAATCACATCTTGAACTTTATTATACCTAATGGCAAATCGTTACTGATCTCTGGTATAAATAATAAAAAAAGGTGAAAGTAAAACTTTATTTTGGACTTACGATAATAAATTTCCATTTTTATTAAAATAAGTTTGAAACCAAGAAATTTTAAATGGTCTGACTTATATTAGTTGATTTACATTTTTAGTAAATGAGTGTGAGGCCAAAAAGATTTCATGTTATCTGACTTCTGAATGTGGATCAGGAAAGTTTTAACCGTATCTTATTTAACTTAAGAAGCTCAGATTCTTAAAAAGATAGACAAAATCTAATAATCGTTTAAGGTTCTTTAAAGAATGGGTTTTCCTTTTATGAATCTAAGAGTTTACTAACACGGAAACACTTGAAATGTGTTCTGTTGTTGCTTTTCTCTGCGTGTAAGTTTCACGCTTTATAGTTAAAAGTTCGAACAAGCAACTTATTTACTTGATAAGAACAAATCAATAATGGTTTGACTTTAAGTACTCAACTCATTTCGAACAAATTTGGACAAGGGCAAGCATATGTACTGGAAATAAAATTGGCCAACTGTCCTACCCAACACATTTTAATATAGCCATTTCTCAGAACTCGTAAGCTTATCATGTGCAGAACACAGAAATTTAATAAGCTGCCTCCACTTATGGTAATTAGTTTTACTAGGAACTCTTGAGCATCCAAATCAGCTTATTTCAAAGTTTTAAACCATACATTAAATTAGCAATGTTCCTTTTTAATGTGTATATGATCTCAACACGTACATGCGAATCTCAACAGTTTTAATATTGCGAAGTAGATGATGTAGTGAAATAATAAATGTCATAATATTTCTGTAACTTATGCCTACATTCCTTTGTAAAGAAGTTATTTTCGAAAATATGACATGTAATGAGTTGTGTTGCTTGTAAGGATATTATTCACAGTGACATTTTTGTCTCTACTGTCTGTTTCTGTATTTTTTATGAATTAATAATGTTTTGTTTTTATTGTGAGTATGTCTTTATTATCAAATTATAGCCTTCCTCTTTCGTATTGTATCTTCCTGTAATCTGAAGATGAATCAGAGTTGTGGGTTACACCACGGTTGTGCTGTGTCATTTTAATCGGAAGTGCCTGTGACTGTGACGAGATGAATAAATTTGTTAGAAGGAATTGCATTTTTGTGATAATGAAAAAATTAACTTCACATCTGGCAGAAACGCAACAAAAAAACAAAGGTTTTTCAATCCATATTTAGTCAGTTAGAATATCCATGTTTGATCATGAAACTTAAACACAATATATATATAATATATTGTTTTAGAGAAAGTATTTCTTATTTAACACACTTTTTAAATTGTTGCTATATATATACAAACACAATAGCGTTATAGACCATCCAAATAATCCTTTTAACTCATAATTCTACACAACCAAATCAAATACAAAACTATTGGGCATGAATATTCTCCTTATTTCTTACTTGTTAATAGATTTTTCCACAAATTCAAAGTAAAACACTGGACATCATAGTACACCATTTGAAAACACACAAATATGTAACTTAGAAGATGAAATTAATATCCTAGATGCGATTTTTGGTATATTGGATCCACCACTAGATGGGTACAAACACGCATAAATGATAGTGCAAATGTGATGACCAACAATTAAATGTGCTAATTTCAGATGCAAACTTCTCCAACTACTGGTTTGACATAGTCACTTTTCAGTTAAAACTAACAACAAAAAATTGCTGCAATATAACGTAGATCATATACAGTTTCCGATACTAGTAAATTATAACATATACCAAACTGTCTTTCCAAATCAAAAACCATGGATTGTCCCTCAAAACTCAAATATCTGACCACCACAACAATGAACAGAATAACAAAAAAGGTTTAAATGGTGAACGTTTCTGTTTCAGTTGTATTTTCAACCTGAACGATATTTTTACACGGCACGTGTTAAACCAGGTTCAAGCATAGCTATCTCTAGTCTAGAGCTGCGACAAGTCAAAAGTACCTGCCGCCTAACGTCTACTCTTAAACCGAATAGGGATTGATTGCCACTTTTATAACATATAAAAGTCCGATAAGTGCTCAGTAATATTTTGCGGGATCGAACCTTGGACCTTCTTATGTGCAGCTCGGCTCAGTTTTAGTTGTAATTTACAAATATAGATAGTGTGATTAAATATTAAACTGTTAAAAACGTGTTTTTTTGTCATGAACTTTAGGTAAACACTAATATCGTGAGTTGAAAATAATTGTTTTTACTTATTTGTTCTTTAGATTCATTGACTTCATCAGACTCGTGGCCCTAACCTTGAAGCATTCACAGTTTATGTATTATATATATTCCTATTCCCTTTGAAAACTTAAGACAATTTCTTTAAGAAATATAAGTAGTCTACTCCTCGATTGTGGTTTGTTTATTGTTAATCACAAAGCTACACAATGGGCTATCTGCGCTATGACTACCAAGAGTATCGAAACCCGGTTTTTATCGTTCTAAGTCCGCAGACATATCGCTGAGCCAATTGGGCCTCTCGATTGTGGTATAACTTACTAGATTGTTTGTTTGTTTGTTATTAAGCACAAAGCTACACAAAGGGCTATCTGTGCTCTGCCCACCACGGGTATCAAAACCCGGTTTCTAGCAGTGTACGTCCGCAGACATACCACTGTGCCACTGGGGGGCAACTTACTAGATACTTCATAACACTATTAGTCATAATTTTGTATCGTAGTTCATCCACAATTAAACTATTGACAAAATTAATATTATCGCTTTTATATGCTGGTCGTTACTGAAGCAAAATTATGTACTTCTTAATAAACAACATGATTGTGATAATTATCATAAGAGATAAGGAAGTAAGATTTTTCGATATTTTTGATAAATGATTATATGCTACCTTCATTATCATAAAAAAGATAAAAATAATAACAACACTCCTATGTGAAATGTCACTAACCAAGAGGAATCCCGCACTCAAATTAATCTTGTATATGTAACTTAGAAAAAGGCAAAAAATGTATGACGTACATATACGTGTGGCAACTGGGGCCCAACTGACCCAACTCGGGCAACTAGGGCCCAACTCGTGAAAGCTTCGCTTGTAAGATATATAGAATTAAAACTTTTTGTGTCCAGGGACCAGTCTGATGCATGATGCTCAGTCTCAATTCGTATAGACCCAGTTATAAGATACACACAATTATCAATTCGAGACCCAGGAAATACAATTTCGATACTCATTCTCAACTTGTAAAGGGCCACCTGTGCACAGTATGGGTGCAGCAATCTTTGGAGTCTCCCAACCAGTAAACAACTGAAGGTCCTGATATCCCCACCCCCTCCTAACATACCCACACTGTAATATTATAATATTACAGTGTGGGTATTATAATATTACAGTGTAATATTATAATAAAAAATCGGAAACATGATTTCATTTTACTTATAATTTAGTGTATTATTTTACTTGCGTAACATTAGTAGCGGCTGGGCTGTAGAGGGGGACTCAAAATATTTTTTTCCCGGGACTTCGTTAAGCCTAAGTGCACCATTGGACTTCGTTAAGCCTACGTGCACCATTGGGCGTACTACAATATACCCGGTTTAATTTTATGTTATTGAGTTACTCACTCTCGACGAAATGAACGATTAAATAGTGTTTCTCCTGAAATAAAATCATTAAGATGTTTAACACATAAGTACTCAAAAACACCCAGAGTACTATTAGGTGATTAAGCGTGAACACCTTAACAGTTCGCTGTTTCTTTGTTCCTGTACATACTTCTTCGAAATGATTAAGTTGTCTCAATTTCCTGTTGAACTTGAGTAACGATAACTTGCAGATAAAGCACACAGAAAGTAAACGATTGAATTAAGCATCGATATCTGGTGAATCATTGGAAAACAATGTTTTACCATATCCGTATTAATACAATGTTTTTACCATATCCGTATTAATACAATGTTTTTACCATATCCGTATTAATACAATGTTTTTACCATATCCGTATTAAATTTCCCATAATATATTTCAAACCAGAAATGTGTTATTAAAATTAAAACGGATGAGATAAGAAGCGCATGCAGTCTAAGTTATTTTATCATAAATATTGGGCCTACTGAACAGACAAACAAAATATGTCTCCATCTCCTGCTAACCTTTATTCTTAGTTACGCACTAATTACACACGAAAAATAAAATTGTCTTCTCCTGACAATTTTAATTAATAGAGGCTTTCTGATAGAAACACACACAAAATAAAATTATCTCAATATTATGCTAACTATAATTAATTGTGACTTACAGATGGAAACAGAGATAAAATTGTTTCTGTTTCCTTCTAGGCAATATTAATAATGACTTGCTGTTGTAAACAAAGTAAGATTAAATTATCTTCATCTCATGCTAATTTTAATTTTTAGCGACTTGCTATAAAAACATATTTAAAATAAAGTATTAATATCCTTCTTAGCTGCTAACCCTAACTAACAGTTATTTGCTGTTAGAAACACAATGGCCTGTTATATCATTACGTTGCACCAAAAAATGTTCATTGTCATTGTACATACAAAAGGCATACGAAAAGTATCTGCATTTAATAAGATTTTATTGATTTTTCATATAAAGTTTCTAACAACGTAATTAGGATAGTAACGTGTGATATATAGATTTTATGAATTGTAGCACGTAATGTTCTGTTGTTGTATGATTCTTTTAAGATATAAAAATAAATACCAAATTAATTACAGGCAATATATATACATATATATTAATACCAGGAATTCTATTCCGTCTACAAGTTACTGTGGACTGAACTGAGAACAACAACACAAAACTTTTAAAAAATTACATCAAACACGTTTACCTTGCTGACTTGAAAATTCTAACTCTATAGTCTTTGTAATCAAAGTTTACTACTACCTTGCACGGGTCGTTTTTCAATCAGTTATACATCATTTCACGAAGGTTACCGTTAACTGCCATTCAGAAAAAAAAACATCTTATTTCCTTCTGTAAAGTTTGTTAAAGCACATGCACTGACAAAATTTGTTCTAAACACACTTGGAAGCTCTTAACTTGTGTTTAATAACTGGGACCTTGAGGATGGTTAAGAAAAGACAAACTATTTAAGGAAGCTTGTTTAAATGCGTGGCTTATTGGCTTTGATCCCAATCCTTCTTACACGGTATACTCATACACGTTACAATAGAAGCATCAGTTTTTCCTGTCTCACAGAAATATATATTTACCACGCATTCACACTTTGCACGGATGAAATACAACGCACATGTTAGTTCCAGTATTCAAATATATTCCAAGTAAGTTTGATATACTCAACTATCTTATAAGATTGGTCAAGAATCCTCTGGCTTTCAGCCTAATGCAAACAGCATAAACAAGATGGTAAATGGGATAACAATAAAAAAAAGAAGTAATTGTTGTTTCATTTACGATTTATTTTATGTATTTGTGACGTTTGTTTTTTATATTTTCTGAAGTAATGAAGGGTATGAGAAGTTCTGACGGTACCCGATGACAGCTAATATGCCTAAGTTGTAATGCGAGGCCAACAGTTTGCTTTTTTTCCTATTCTAGATACATTCAAAAACGTAAGAAAATTGAATTTTTGTTAGTGTTAAGTAAACATTAGCACACTGCCAGTATCTTTGATTTAGCCAATCTTTACAATTTCTTATGACTTATGATACCGAGAAACAAACAGCGGAAGACTTCCGAAGAACTATAAAAAATCCCCTTGTTAATGACGTAATACTTTGTTCACATTAATCCTGCAGGCTGACTAATAATCAGCTCGCTTCTACATCACTCCTAAATATCATGAAAATTTGTGTTTTGAATAAAGGCATATTATTTATTTCTTTGTTAGTTTAACAAAACTGCTAATAAATAAAAAAAAACACACTTAAACTAGTTTATTATATAATATATGTAAAATCAATCAGACTTATTGACATTTGTACATCGACCGATTTTTAAGAAAAAAACAATGTCTCGGTTTCTTGTTATAAAGTGTGAACCGACCTGAGTAACATGGTTTTATTTGTTTTATAATTTTTACGCAAAGTTACACATGGCTATCTGCGCATAACCGTTATTAATTTTGAACAGAAACTAAAGGGAAGACAACTATTTAACAGCACCCGCAGTCAACTCTTGAGCTACTATTTTCAGGCCGAGTAGTTGGATTTATCCAACACTCATATCATGTATGCACGGCTTCAAAGTACGGAGTGGATGCGTTTTTGCGGCATCGGTACTTGAACAATGAATCCTCTGATTCATAGTCCGGGCACACTAACACTACGACTTGCCCATGTCATACCCTCATGGAGTAAACTGAAAATGTAAGAAGTATCATTTCGTATAGAGAGGTATGAGATGCGCAAAAACTGTATGATATATATGTCGTATCAAACCGATAGACCATAGAAACAAAAGTTTAATGTATTAATATGTGAGTTTTCTTATAGCCGAGCCACATCGGGCTATCTGCTGTGTCTACCCAGGGTAATGGAACCCCTGATGTAAAAACATTGTAAATCCGAAGACTTACCGTTGTCCCACCTGGGGACATGTATTAATGTGTGAGATTTCTTATAGCCGAGCCACATCGGGCTATCTGTTGTGTCTACCCAGGGTAATCGAACCCCTGATGTTAGCATTGTAAATCCGAAGACTTACCGCTGTCCCACCTGGGGACATGTATTAATGAGACTATGCATAACTATATCGTTTTTCAGAAGACAAGACTTGTGATTTACATTTCCTGAACTCTAATGCCCCAGAATATGGCGGGTTTACGTAATAAAATTGTAATTAAGCTTTCACATTTTTTAATGAGTTCCTTTGGAACGTAACTAAATTATAATGATCATCGTATGTTTGGTTACTAATACTGTATTTTTATAGTTATGAGCACCACTCTAAATACTAGCTGACTGTATCAGAATTAAATATTTTACATCTTAAACCATATTCTTAAACTCGATACATTTGTTTAGTTTTACTGAGTCATAGTTACAAAAGGCTTATGAAAAGTATGACGTAACGTCTTACGTTTCTCACATACTAATGCACGGGAACTTTGAAAAGAAATGTCGTGGTTTGATAAAATTCCTCATTCATTAAGACATCTTGTATTTGTATACTATGATCACTAACACCAAAACAGCTAACGAAGTTGAGGATACGATGTGCTGTAACAATACAGTTGACTTAATGGCGCAACATAACAACATGGCAGAAATTTAGATGGAGACCAGACAAGTTTCTCTTCACTTAAACCTCGTGACAAAGTCTTTAGATAAAGGGTTTCGTAAACGAACATAGTTATTGTCATGTGCAATGGAATTACGAGATGAGCCCTGACTGACATTCATTTATCTATCTGGAAACACACGTGAAGACACCATGGCAGAATAAGAACTATTTACACGCTACAACTACAAATTATAAATGCCCGGTATTTATTTAATTACATATGATGCAAATCTTTAGGCAAGACACTGACGCAATTATAAACTTATCAATTTTAAAGTCCAGTAATGTCGATAAAACAATTACTGGGGAAAAGTGCGAAGCAACGAATAATTAGAGGTGGTTCCTACAACATTTGATGTACCACGTGTGTAGCTTGCGTGACTGTGTTATGGTAACTTGTTTTTGTTATCGTTCAAACAATGCACGCAGTTTTCGAAATTTTTAAAGTGTATAATTTTTTTATATATTAACGCCTGATTTAAGCTACGTATAAATACGAAATAATAAAATACGTTTGTGTTAAAAGTCACGATTCGGTGTACCAGAAAAAGAAAAAGACAATTAGGAACTGTGAAAGATACTTGTTTCAGCCTTGATTTACCGTTACTTAGTAATAAACGGAGCTGAGTAAAGAATTCTGTTGGACCTGTCTGGAGACAGGAATTACAGGAAAATATGTCTTCTAACTGGGAATCTTACCTGTTTTTGAAGCGAACTAACTAGATTTTTTAAACTAAGTCAATCCTCACTCTACTGGGACTGAAAACTGAAGTAATGATGAGTTAACGAATATTTTAACTCAACGGAGTTTACTTGAGAGATAATTAGTGATCAGGAAGCTAATTTTAACTCATTACACAAACTTAATGAAACATCTACAGCAAAACACATTACTAGTCTAACATTATCCTCAAAATGTTTAAGTTCAAATGTCGACGAGTTTCTTAATTAAGGAGTTATGTGGAGATTGCAAAAACAAAGTTTAGATTCACTAGTAAGAAATACTAATATATTCATTATGCTTTATTTTAGATTCTGCTACACGGTATTGCGTATTTACCAACATCAATCTGGAGACTGTTTACCAACTGAGATATCTTCTATACAGATTACCTCTTTTAAGTTGCTTCATTATGGTAATTTACAGATTTCCCTTTCTAAGTTATTTCATTATGGTAGTTTACATACTACCATTTCTACGTTGCTTCATTATGGTAATTTACAGATTTCCCTTTCTAAGTTATTTCATTATGATAGTTTACATACTACCATTTCTAAGTTGCTTCATTATGGTAATTTACAGATTTTCCTTTCTAAGTTATTTCATTATGGTAGTTTACATACTACCATTTCTAAGTTGCTTCATTATGGTAATTTACAGATTTTCCTTTCTAAGTTATCTCATTATGGTAGTTTACATACTACCATTTCTAAGTTGCTTCATTATGGTAATTTACAGATTTTCCTTTCTAAGTTATCTCATTATGGTAGTTTACATACTACCATTTCTACGTTGCTTCATTATGGTAATTTACAGATTAACCTTACTAAGTTGCTTCACTGTGATAAGTTAAAGATCTTCCTTTCTAAACTGATTCATTATGGTAGCGTTAGGCTCTCGCTAGAAACAGGTCTGAATGCTGAAGAAAACAATCTGTGTTTAAAAAAGCGAGAAACGCCAACTAGAAGCCGAAAAAGATTAAAACAAGAAAGTAAAAAAATCAAGAGTTTGATGAAATTTACCAAGGCTCCTTATATTAAATATGTTTGTTACAAACAGCATTTTAGAGATCAACTGTTAAACTTTTTAAAACCAGTTTGATTAGGGAAGATTATGGTTAGGTAGAAGGGATCCTCATTTAATTACTAGAAAATGTGGACCTCGATGAAGGATGATTTTTCAAACAAGACTTGCAATCGTGTCAAAGCAGATACGTACTTCGTCTGTACAGACTGTAACTGTTATCCTAAACAAACTTGGCCTTGCATAGTAGTCATAAAGAGGAGCTAACCTGTCAGGTAATTTGAAGGCCAAGCAACGAAAAGACAGTTGTAGTATTTCGTTCGAGAACAGGGACGTTTTTTGTTTTGCTTTGTTTTTTGTGATCATCTTGGCAAAACCGCCTAATATCAGCTGACATTAAATTTGGCAATGGAAATGCAATTCAAGGAGAAAAAATATGCATATGCACTTGTACTTTGTGCTAGAAAGAGAATTAAACTGTCTTTTTAAACATGTTTCACTGAGCCAAAGAAACTCTATGCATTATTCCTACAAGAATGGGAATCTAAGACCATGTGTAGATTTTTGTAACAACAGCGCCATCTAAGCCAAATAACTTCAAACATTAGACAACGGCCTTGACAACAAGAAGAATGGGAACCTATGATTACGTGTAGAGTTTTCAACGTCCATGTTATTTCAACATTTAATGTACCTTCTCTAACTAACCCTGAGGGTTTTATTGACTAAGCTATTCATGCTGGCTTTACTTTAAAAAACTTGATCTAAGTAAAGTATACTAAAAGATACCTTTCTAGGAAAATTGTATGTTTCTATTGCTCGGAGTTTCAGCTCTAAATATAGAACATCCCTCTCATTTTTCCATAATTAAGCTCCGATGTTTTGGAACCCTCCAGTAAAACATTGGCCCCTGAGATAATTTAGAAGTCACTCCTACTTAAAGAAGATGATAGTGAGAGCATAACCTTTTACTTCATGGAATGTCAGATCTAATATTCGCTGACGCTTTTATAAACCTAATGTAATAAAAAAAGTAAAATTACAAAAGCAATTAGAAAATCCTAGATTTACATGCATTAAGAAAAACGCAATAAATATATATATATATATAAACTACATATTAAAACGCCCCCTATCAATTATTATAACTTTTGGCTCAACCCTAAAAAAAATGAAAAAATTGAAAATAACATACACTCTATTAAATATATCCCAAAACTTTGAAGAAGAAAAATGAACTAGAGAAAGTAGGGTTAGTAATTTTGAGAGGCATTAATGAAATACAAG